TCACTAAAAGAAAGGTGTCAAGTCCGCCTACCCTAAGCACGAGGTACTCTACTCTCAACTGCTGAGTCAGTGAGGGTGTGGGCCCAAGCTATAGCTTGTAATAAAAAGATCCTCATGTGTTCTGCAACAGCTTGACTCCTGGTGGTCTTTTGTGGTCTCATGAACTGGGCACAACAGAGGCAGTCCCATGAAGGATTTATACTTTCAGAACAGCCATAAATGCTCTTCAGTTAGACCTTAGAAAAGCGTGTTATGGGAAAGCATAGAAAACTCAGCTGTGGGTCTACATTGCCATCAGGTGAAATTCTTAACATCAGGCCTGGTAGATGCTTGTGTTCTAGTTATCACAATCCTAAAGGTATTCTTAGTCCTAGGACACTAGGTCCAACAAAGAGGCTAGTAAGGAATGGCTAATAGGGACTAAAGATGGCCCAAGACAAATTGTTATTAGGTTCTGGACACACCAACATCTCCACATCACTCCAGTTCTGATCAGTCAGTCAGACTCTGTTGACACAACTCCTCTGTGGAAGTGCTCATTCCCATGATGAGGTGGGTGGTCAGGTTCAGGGTGTGCATTCCCACCAAACTCCACAGACCACAAGCCGAATCCAAGAGCAGATGAAGATGATAGATAGGAGACTGATATTAGCAACCACCTCAGTGTTCCTGAATTAGAGTACTATTCACACACACTCACACACACACACACACACACAAAGCAATATTATCTCTCTGTCTCTGTCTCTCTCTGTCTCTCTTTCTCACTTTCTATTCAAGTGAATTGTGAATAGAACCTCAGAGTCACTTGCTTGGTGACACAGACGACTGTGCTGTGGTGGCCAATGAGGAATAAATAGCAGAGGAAGCAGTAGCAGCAGATAATCAAGAGATAGCTTAGAATTCTGGGATTGCCCTCAACATCGGGCAGGCAAGGCTCAGTACTTCACAAAATGATGCAAAACCACAGCAGTGATAGCAAAGAAGCACAGAGTTGCACCAAAGCCATGACCAGAGGACCCTAAAAGGTGGGGAATATCACTTGTTTGGGGAAGGGAGTTTATGTCACAGGCACACTCTTTCATATTTCATAAAGAAGAAATCCTTAGGCTCGTTTTCCAGAAATGGCTGGCATCATCAAGAAAATGATTGACGTGTCTATGGTTATTAATAAAAAGACCAAAGAAAAAACATGAATACATGTGGGTGCAGAGATACATATATTCTCTCACACAAAAATATCATAAAAGCATGAAACCAGAAGCCATAGTCATACATACATATATGAATATGTATATGTAGCCTTGACAACCCACAAATATATCCTTGAGTTTTTCTGTTGTTGATCATGGGGCCAACCAGTTAGTCTGGTTTGTGGCCCTAATGAGACTGACTCCCTTGGAGAAAACTAAGTTTAAAATTTATTATTATTATTTAAAGAGGTAGTGAGTGTTCTTTTTGGAGGGAGAGGAACTTTATCGATGATCCATGGTGTAGTTCTTTTTGTTCTTTGAAGATTTATTATTTGTACAGTATTCTGCCTGCACAACAGCAGAGGGCTCCAGACCTCACTACAGATGGTTGTGATCCAACATGTGAGTGCTGGGAATCGAACTCAGGAATTCTGGAAGAGCAGCGATACTCTTAAGCTCCATGCCATCTCTTCAGTTCCCTTATTTATTATTTATCATTTTTAGTTATTCATTTTACATCCCTGTAATAAACCCCTCCCTCCTCTCTTCCTGGTCTTACCTTTTATGTTTTTCCTATCGCCCCTAACCTATGTCCTCAGAGAAGGCGATCTGTCCTTCCATGTACCCACTCACCCACAGCAACATATCAAGTCGCATCAGGACTGAGTGCATCCTCTTCCCCTGTGGCCTGGCGAGGTAGCCCTGACAGGGGAAAATGATAGAAGAGCTAGCTTGTGGGTCAGGGTGCATTCATATGTGTGTTGGTCCTCCTGTGTTTACAAGATCTTGTTACCCTCGTATCCTTCATCTGCTCTGGCTGGCTCTTACACTGTACACACAGAATTCCTTGAGCTCTTAGGGGAATGGGTTTCCTGGAGACATCTCATTTAGGGTGGAATGGTCCAAGGCCTCTCACTCTCTGGGTATCGACTGGATGTGGGTCTCTGGATTTGTTCCCATCTGCTGCAGGAGGAAGTTTACGATGATGGCCTAGCAAGGCACAGACCTGTGAGTATGGCTGTGTTCCTTTAGCACAACAATAGCATTTAGATTTCTCTTAAAATCCCTGGCCTGTGTAGACTCAGACTCGTGGCCATCCAAGCAGTATTGGATCAAGGTTCCTTCTCAAGGAGCAGGTCTCCCAAAACTCCACCAGATATTATTTGGTCATTTCCATGATGTTTGTGTCACAAGTGCACCAACAAATCTTGTAGGCAGGTCTCCATTGGAGAGTGAAGTGTGTATGGCTAAGTTGGTGCTGTACTTTTCTCTTCCGGTGGCATGCAGCGTATGTTCCAGCATCATGAACAGTAGTCCATAAGGGGTGAATATTCTAGGTAGGCGCCAGCTGGGATTACCCGTGTCCAATGACTTGTGAAGTTATTCTCAGCAATAGAATCTTACCATCAGGTTGGGGAGAGCCCAAGAGGGTGGACACATGTTAGGTGGTCCCAGGCCCTGCTTTGATCTAGCACAGAGTCCTCCCGAGTTCTGACTCCACAGGACTCGAGGAAGAGGCCGGTTCTGGAGACACTCCTTACCCTGTTCTTATTAAATTGAAATAAATACATAGTATTAAATTAATTACAGCATCTATGTAAAGCTCGTTATTAAGTGACACATGCTTACCACGAGAGGGTACCACATCCCTTGACAGATGACTCTGTGGTCAGTGGGGATGGAACCAGGCACCTAGGGAAGAGAGTGGGATTCTCTGCTTCAGAGAGCCCCCTGGCTGTTGGGATGACAGGCATGAGACACTGAGTCCAGCGTTTTGTTTCTTTCTTTATTTTTTTTAGATTCATTAATTAATTCATTCATTCTCCAGCATTATTCCTGTGCACTATTAGAGGGCATCGGATCTCATTATAGATGGTTGTGAGGCACCATGTGGTTGCTAGGAATTGAACTCAAGACCTTTGGAAGAGCAGCCAGTGCTGCTTTCAGCCATCTTTCCAGCCTCCGACTTATTTTTTAAACTTTAAAAAATATTTATTTTTTTGTGAGGGCATTTCTGCCTTCCCGAGACCAGCCCTGCTTTGACTGGGAGAGTCGAAATGACTAAAAGGGACAGACACCCCAGAATCCCTTCTCCAACTACGCCAGATCAGGAGAATTCAAAGTGCACTTTTTTCCTTTACACAAATGACTTCGAACACCCAGGCCTGTTTACTTCCAGAAGCAGATGGGCAGGGTGATGGCATTAGGAATCTGCTCCCTGGAAGCTCTGGATCCTGAAGACAGCAAGGGGCAAAGGACAGGGATATTTACATGACAGCGGGGACTCCCAGAAACGCTGTGTGCTCCTTGGCGACAGGAAAGGGCTTTAGGGATAATTCCGGGTCCCCTGTATGTTTTCAGGGTTGATTGTTTGGTGTTGAATAACTAACTGATTTTATACTCTTTCCTGGAAAGTTTTTTCTCACACTCTTAGTTTTTATTAGTTCCCTGCAGATTTTTGCATAGGATTAAGGACAATGGTTTCTTCCTGGACCACTTTTGCATGCCTATTGGCATTTTCCATTTTTCAGTTCATATTTGTGCAGGCATATTGGTAAGCCTTTTTTTCTTTTTTTTTTTTAATATTCATTCATCTTATGGATGTAGCTTCTGGTATTATTAGGAGACACACTACCAGAACATACTCTGATCCTCTGCCTTATATAATTTTTTCATCATCTGTTCTGCATGACCTCTGAGCCTTAGATTTAGGAATTGTTTTATAGATTTATCAGGTGTGAGTGTTCTCCAGAATTCTGCCTTGTGATTGGTTGTGCTTTTCAGTCATGATTGCTGTTGCAAAGAAAAGCTTCTTCTGACAGTGGTGAACTATACTTATCTGTGTGCATTATTAAAAATATTTAGGTTGTAACATGTTTATATTCATGCATGGACTTACATGTATTACAGAGATTTTATGTAGATAATTCACAGTATGATTGCTTAAAACTCTTTCACATATATTTACTGTTATTTGTCCCACTTCGTCCTTTCTTATTTATCCACCTTGATAATTAGGGGACCTTCCCCACATTATCCCAATCAGATCAATTGTGCCTACCATTGTATTGCTTGCCCAACATGTTTTCTTGTTTCTACAGTTATTCCATGGTGATACTCACATCTGAAACTTTAGAGCTAGATGCCCCAGAATAGAGAATGAGAGATATTTGTCTTCTGGATATGGATTACCTAAATTAAAATTTTTCTACTTACATGTATTTATATGCATGATATTTATCATGTTAAACATATTTATGAGTTTCCATTTCCTACCTGTTGTGAACAGAATAGCAATGAAGGTGACTGAGCAAGTATTTCTAGAGTAGGATGTCCAGTCATTTTTATGTATGTCTAGGAAAGAGAGCAGGGCCAGGTAGTAGATTTATTTATTTTTTTCCTTTTAGAAAATTCTCTACTCTGATTTTTGGAATGGCTCAACTGTTTAAAAGACACTCCCCCTTTCCAGAGATCTATTTTCATGCCTGTTCTATAGAAGAATCTCAAATACCACCCAAAGCCCTGTTATACTCCCCAAAATAACAAAGAAAACAAGTATTTAGTTCATGTACTATTTATCTCAATTACTATCATGTAATTACATTTTGAATATGTATATTGTCCACAAATTAATAAGTAACATGCATAACTTATTAAAATGTGTTTTCAACAGCAGCTTCTATTCTGAAATAAATTGTCTGTGATTGTGAGACAAAGTGAGGGGTGGTTTATTTAAGTACACATTTTAGAAAAAAAGTTACTTAAAAGTAGGTAAATAATTTAATTTTACTATACTAATGGGTTTTATTAGAAAACTAACACATTAAAATGATCAGTTTTTATTTGATTTTTTTTGTTTTTCAAACATCTCAAAGAGTTTTTATCAGGTCTTAGGAGAATAATGTAGCACTTTGGGAAAAAGATGCACCCCAGCAGCCCTGCACTGGAGGCCAAGATGGAGAAGACCTCCACAGCCACAATGGCCTTGCCCTTGGTGCTTTGGAAGATTGGGATGAAGGTAACCCAGACACTGCAGAACACCAGCATGCTAAATGTTAGGAACTTGGCCTCATTGAATGTGTCAGGCAGGTTCCTCACCAGGAAAGCCACAGTGAAGCTCCCTAAGGCCAGGGTCCCTAAGTATGCCAGCACAGAGTAGAAAAAAGTAACTGAGCCCTTGTTGCATAAAATAATGACTTGAGCATGTTTAGAGTGTGCATCCGTGTCAATATAAGGAGGTGAGGTTCCCAGCTAGACTCCAGAGAGTGTAAGTTGGATCAACACACAGATAAGGATGACAGCATTATAGATGCCTGAGACAAACAACCTTCTCATTGTTCTCCCTGGTTTCATGACTCTAAAGGCCAGAATTACAGTTATAGTTTTTGCCAAAACAGTGGAAATAGCCAAGGTGAACACAAGTGCAAATGTTATTTGTTGCAGTATGCACGAGGTTGTGTTTGGGCAGCCAATGAAAAAAAAGGAGTAGAGGAAGCAGAGGAGGATGGAAATGAGCAGGATGTAGAAGAGAGTCTTGTTATTGGCCTTAACAATGGCTGATTCTCGGTGTTTTAGAAAGATCCCCAGAACTGCAATTGTGCTGACAGAGAAGGAAAGAGCCGTGCAGGCCAAAGCCATGCCCAGAGGATCTTCAAAGGATAAGAAGGTCACTATCTTGGGCAGGCACTGGTTTCTCTCAGGGTTTGGGTACTCTTGACTTAGGCAGGGGATGCACTTCTGCTGATCTGTGTGGAGGAAATGAATCAACATTTCAGCTTATACATGTATTTACACATTACACATTTAATTCATGAGAATGCTCTTCAATGATGTGTGTAGCCTGGCATATTCTGCTTCCTGGTACTGCCAAGATCATGAACTCTTTATAATTTCCATTTCTCTTGTTTATCTTGTTTACTTGATAAGCTTCCTGCTCAAAAATTTATCACTGTTTTTCTAGGGCAGTGAAATCTATCTTACTCATATTCAGATGAAGTAAAACTGTCAAGTAATCCTTCAAATGCTTTTTTAATACATTGAGCTCCTAATTAAATATACATTGTATGTTGAACAAAAATACACTTCCTTGTTTCCACCATCATGTGTTCTTCTCATTTTTTCTTGTTACAGTTTCAGTGGATATTTGTTACCCCATTTCTATCTAATTTTTCTCAGGGACTATGGAATAAATTAGATACCACCTCCATGGTCTATGGAACTATTCTGATTTGGTAGTAAATACACAACAGTTGCATCAACAAATTGCAGCTATAGGCTCAGATCAACCAGTACCTATCTCTGCTGTGGAAGTTGCATATAAATATCTGTAGTCTTTGACATCCTTTGACTCAGAATAGGACCCTTTGTTTTTCATTATTAATTTCAGATTAATCTTGGGAATTGTTCTAATTTTCATTCTTATTGTTCTAGTCATCATTTGAAGAATAAAAAATGCCCTACATGTCACACAATAGGTTTATACATGTTAATCATTAAATCAGATAACGGAAAATTCAGAGCCATATTCACTGGAATGGTGAGGCTGATGAAGCCACCTCAGCTGCTTGACGAAATTCCAGCAAAGCTGAGCAGAATGTTACAATCACTGTTCTTCTATCTCTTTTTTTTCTGTATGTTGCATTACTGGGGACTTTCTGCACTGATTAATTTTCTGGGTTTTTTTTGTTTTGTTTTGTTTTTCTACACAAAAGTTATCTGTTAGTCTTTTAATGAAAAATCCTATACCTGTCCACAGTTTGGAAACCTTTATGCCATGGAGATCATTAAGCACAGATAAGCAGATAGAAAGATGAGGCCAATATTTCAGGAATTTTCTTGGGGTATCTGCCTGTAAACAGTATATTTCAGGGTAAACAGAGATAATATGCAAACCTCGGCAGGCCAGGATATTTGATTATAGATTAAAGACATCCTTTTATTATAGGCTTAGAACTCCCTGAAAATGTAGTTTAAAGATAAGAGGCCATAGAGAGTACACTCCTGATAGAATAAAATTCAGTTAATATGATAGATTGACTAAAATAAAATTTTCCTACTTCATAACATGGATGATGATACATATAATAAAGGGAGTTATTTATTAGTATTTGCTATTCATAAAATGACCAGTTCAGGTATTATCTGTTTATATGGACTGTGGTCATACTGAAAAACACTGCCAGCCTAAAAGCAGGCTTTCATATATTAAATGTGTTTTCTTGAAGGAGACATTCTTTAGATTCCTTAAATTAGATTTTTAGGGGTAATAATAATTATTAAATCTGTTCTGTTTGTATTTTTTAAGTGTTACTGAATTTGTAACCCTGGGTATGTAGTGAAAAAAAATTAAACACCCACTCTGTATCACTTGTATAATCATTAGACTGTTTGTGCTGTGAAACTTGTATAAATAAACAAGTGCCTTGTTGATAGTAAGTTAGAGCCACAGAAAGTCCTGAATTTTAGAGTTGGCAGTGAAATTCTCCTGACTACTCTAACTAACTCACTCCCTTCCCTCATAGTCCCCTCATCTGCTCTGTGGAGCAACCTATATATAAAGACCCTCCAACTCTCCTTTCCCTGATGAGGATGGCCCCACAGAAAGACTCCTGATACAATCTCATAGTAATGAACTGCTAACAAGAGAGCATGCATAAAACAGATCTGGGCTCTCTGCAAATATGTAACAGTTATTCTACTTGGTCTTCATGGGAGACACCTTACAGCAAGACCAAGGCAATCTCTATCTTTTTTGCCTGCCATTGGATCCCTTTCCCATAATTATACTGCCTTGTGTAACCTCAATAGCAGAAATTGTGCATAATCTTATTACAACTTTATATGCCAAGGCTGGTTGATATCCATTGGAGGCTTCCTTTTTTTCATAAATAAAGGGAGGAGTGGCAAATGGATTGGGAGGTAAGGTTAGAAGGAGATACTGGGAGGAGAGGTGTGAGCAGATGCTGCACTATTACATAAACAAATTAAATAATGTATTTAAAAAATAAAAAGTTTGTAATATAAATCAATGAAATAAAAACAAAGAAAACAATACACAGAATTAACCAAAGGAAGAGCTGCCTCTTTCTGAAGATAAACAAAATTAACAGATCCTTGTCTCAAGTAAATCAAAGAAAGAAATAGAGGACTCACAGAATCAAAAATAACAGAAAAAGATTAATACAGAAACCAAAAAAATTTGGAATATTCAAAGGAAACATTAAAAAATACTGTATTCAAGTAAGCTTAAAAATGGACATGAAATTAAGTTATAGATTTGCTGAAACAATCATGATTCAAACATCAATTCAATAATTCAACCTAAATAGACCTAAACAGACCCATGAGGAAATTGAAAAGCTCATAAAAGGCTTCCACCATAAAAGAAAGGAAGGATGAAAGATCAACAAGAGGAGAATCCAAGATGGTGGAGACCAGTGTGTACCGTATATGAAGGGCAGATGATCTCAGAGACTCTGAGACCAGTAAGTGGACAAGTGGCTAGATTCAGAGCATCATGTTTGGTGCTTCCTGTTCTGGACGGGACATTCAGGAATTGGAATCGATCATATTCAGGCCCTCTGTGGGCATCTCACAGATCCAGGAGTAGCAAACATTGGGACATCTGCCCTTCCACATACTACAGTGAGTTTGGACTCCCAGATCCAAGGACTCCTGCTCTAGCAGGCAGACTTTGTATCCCTCCTGCTCCCCTGAGGGCAGCATCAGGATTCCTGGGACAGCATCCCAAACAACAAGACACAGTTCTGCTGCTTACACTGTGGACACCAGGTGAATAATAAAATAACATGTATCCCGGGTATGAGATGATAGATGACAGAGGAATCAGAGTACAAGGAGCACAGTTTTGGGCAAGTCTGTAAGCCTCAGCCCAGCTTTCTTTTAAGGAACCCTACAGATGCCACCTGAGCCTGGAGTCCTTTGGGGTACCCACACCTGCACCATGCTCATGACCAGCACCAGAACCTGCACCCTGAACTTCAAGGCTCCAGTTCATGCACACCCACTGATCTTCAATTCACCAGCTCCCACCTGTTTGTGTGCCCACACACTGCCCTTCAAGACACTGGCATCTGAATAGCCACCACCCATTTTTTAGCCACTGCACATTTCTCATCTCCTGAACACTACTCTAGATTCCAAAAACAAGAGGATCCAGTCTTTGGTGTGTGTCCCAGGAAGAAATAACTAAGGCTACAGACAACCAGACAGCTAAATCCAAGCATAAGAACACAGTCAACAAAAACCATGACATCATTGCTCCACTGGAGCCCCTCCCCCCAAAAACCAATGGATATTCTAATGCAAGTCAAACACAGGAAAATTGCCTTATGTTTGTGTTTATGTAGTTGTTAAAGGCATATAAAGAGGAAAAGAAAAAGTCTCTCCAAGAAGTGCAGGCAAAAATACATAGAGAAGAAAACACAACCAAACAGGCGAAGAAAATGAATGAAGTTGTTCAAGACCTGAAAATGGAATTAGAATCAATAAGGAAAACACAAACCAAGAAATTCCTGGAGAAGGAGTATTTAGAGAAGGGATCAAGCACCACAGAGAAAAGCATAACCAACAGTAAACAAGAGGTGAAATAGAGAATCTCATGCTTTAAAGATACAATTGAAGAAACTGATACATCCCTCAAAAAACATAACAATGGAAAGGTTCCTTATGCAAAATATCCAAGAAATCAAGGACTCTATGAAATGAAGAAACCTAAGAATATTAGGAATAGCCTAAAAAGACGATTCCAGGATCCAAGGTCTAGAATATATTTTCAATAAAATCATAAAAGAAAAATTCCCCAACCTGAAGAAAGATGCCCAGAAACATACAGGAAGCATACAGAACACTAAATAGACTAGACCAGAAAAGCAAATTCTCATGCCACATAATAATCAAAACACTAACTCTACACAACGAAAAAAAATTAAAAGCAGCAAGGGGAAAAGATCAAATAACATATAAAGGCAGACCTATCAGAATCACACCAGAATTCTAAACAGAGATTATGAAAGCCAAAAGGCCTTGGAAAGATGTCCTGCAGACATGAAGAGACCACAGATACCAACTCAGACTACTGTACCCAGCAAACATTACAGTCAAAATAGCTGGAGGAAACAAGATATTCCATGATAAAACTCAGTTTAAACAATATCTATGCAGCACCCAGGACATAATGAAGCTACTAGCAGGAAAACTCCAACCAAATGAAATCAACTAAACCCAAAAAACACAGGCTATAGATAAGATCACAACAAAAAAATCAGAAGAAAACAAGCACACAAACACAGCATCTGCATCAACTTCACAATACAAAGAACTAACATTCATTGGTCAATAATATCTATCAAAATCAATGTACTCAACAACCCAATAAAAGGACACATCTTAACATAATGGTTACAGAAACAAGATCCAGCATTCTGCTGCATACAAGAAACACACATAAGCCGCAAAGATAGACATTTCCTCAGAGTAAAGTGATAGAAAATGGTTATCTCATCAAATGGACCCAAGGAAAAAGTGGCAGTACCCTCCTAATACACAATAAAAGAGACTTCCAACCAAAATTAATCAAGAGATGAAGAAGGAAATTTCATCCTCATCAAAGAAAAATCCACTGTGAGGACATTAATATCTTGAAAAATTATGCCCCAGATACAAGGGCACCTGCACTCGTAAAAGAAACATTATTAAAGCTGAAATAACACATTGATCTCAACATAGTAATAGAGGGAGACTTCAACACCCCACTCTCACTAAGGGACAGATCATTGAAAAAGAAGCTAAATGGTGAAATAATGAAGTTTACAGAGGTCATGAATCAAATGGACCTAATAGATGTCTACAGAATTTTTCAACCAGACACGAAAGAGTATAAATTCTTCTTAGAACCCCACGGTAACTTCTCCAAAATTGACCATATAATCAGGCACAAAGCAAATCTCCATGGATACAAGAAGACTGAAATAATCCCTTTAATCCAGTGACACCACCATGTTCTAAAGCTGGATCTCAATTATGACAGAAAGAACAAAAGACGTATACACACATGGAACCCCAAAAACTATCTACTCAACAACAGGTGTCAGGGAAGAAATAAAGAAAGTAATTAAAGCTTTCCTAAAGTTCAATGAAAATGAAGGCACAACATGCCCAAACTTATGGTACACAATGAAAGGAGTGCTTAGAGAAAAGTTCATAGCACTCAGTGGCTTCATTAAGGAAATTTGAGATGTCTCATACAAACAACCTAATGACACTCCTGAAAGACCTAGAAAAAAAAAAACAACAACAAAAAAGATGTAGACACACCCAAGAGGAGTAAATGGCTGGAAAGAATCAAACTCAGTGCTGAAATCAATATACTAAAACAAAAATGTTTTAAAGTCAACAAAACCAAGAGCTGGTTCTTTGAGAAAATCAACAACATAGACAAAATAACTAAAAGGCAGAAAGACACTATCCAAATGACAAAATCCAAGAATGCATTAAAGGTATCATCTGCTACCATTAAGTAGGCATCATTCCAGGCATATACTGATGGTTCAATCTATGGAAATCCACCAATGAAATGCATCATACAAACGCACTGAAAGAAAAAAAAAACAACCCATGATCATCTCCTTAGATGCCTAAAAAGTATTTGACAAAATCCAACACCAGTTCATGTTTAAAGTCTTGGAGGTATCAGGAATACAAGGCACATACCTAAACATCGTAGAGACAGTATACAGCAAGGCTATAGCCAACATCAAACTAAATGAAGAGAAACTTAAACCAATCCCAATGAAATCAGGGACAAGGCAAAGATGCCCACTCTCTCCATATTTCTTGAACATAGTACTTGAAGTCATATAGCACACTGCAAGAAATGTATCCCATGGTAGCATTAGATTGTAGAATACAAAGAATTTTTAATCTTTCAACATTTTAGTGTTTTAAATAAAGATAAAAAGTTCTGTTTCTTATAAAATTGCCTAAGAATTGGCTTTTTTCAGTTTAATAAATAATAATAGATTCTCATCATTGTAATAATGCTTATTCCTTCTGACTTTTAACTTTTTTATAAATTTTTTCATTTTTAAAATAACATATTTGCCTCAATATATCTCTTCTTTTTCTTCTTTTCAGACCTCCTGGACCCATGTTATATTTATTGTCTCTCAAATTTATGGACTCTTTCTCATTTAATGTTGTATTTGTGTCTTTGTGTGTGTGTCTTTGTATTCATAAATACTACTTGCTCATTCCATGTGATGTTACATGTATATGTTATCACATGGTTGACCACAATCTTAAACAGGCAGCCACACTTTCATTTATGAAGACTGGCTTTTTCTGCTGTTGTTGATACTTAAATGTCAACTATAATTGTTTAAATGCAGTTCCATTTCTTGTGCATTGAGGAAACAATTACACATGTACTTTTCCTGGAGTTACTTTCAAGCACCAATCATTACATTTGTTTATTACAGAAATATAATTTGATCTTGGACAACTGGATATCTCACATTCAATGGGGAGCCTATAGCATGGATCACTGTAAGAGTTGAGAAAGCAATTCTATGCACCAAAAGGAAGGATTTTTAAGTAGGTTGATTTTCACACAATAGCAAGAGAACTGCCACACAAACCTTCACACATTGTGAGGAATCAGCAGTGGTTACTAACGGATTTAGGGATGAGTGAAAAATCCATAGGGAAGAACACTACAATATGACACCACAGTCACTTCTTAGCTTTCCCATTCTACATTCCCAAGCAGTTTGAGGAAAGATATTTTTGTTTTACCTGTCTGGTTGGAAATGTGCTGCTCTGGACAAAATACACAAAAAAACCAGCAGACAGGTCTTTCTTCTTGCAGAACTTTCCAGAATCCTGGACCAGAGCTCTGTGAACATACAGATTGGGGAGTCTGAGGGAAACACAGAAAAACTGGTCATAATATTGTACATTAATTTAAAATAATTTAGGCTAAATAACGTAAATGCACATATTTTATGGAAATTCTATGTATTTATGAGGAACTCAGGTTTTAATATGGGAGTGTAGAATGGAGATTTGAAGTTAGCACACTAACCAATGCTAGTTCAACATCCCTTTATGGTAACTAAACTGTGACTCTCTTCTTCCTAGCCTTTGTGAAATGTGTATGACATCCATATATTCTCTCCTGTGAGGCAGCAAGCCAGAACTCATTTTCATATGAATTATGGAACAGTTGGATTGTCAGACAGAAACCCAGTCCCTCTTTCCTCATCTATTTCTACCTTTACATTTCCAGTCATGTAGTAATACCTGTGCACTCTAATTCACCTGCAAAACGAAGTTCAGTTTTCTCATGAAAGATGGTTTGGCCATTGGTGAATTATGATCTATTACTGTGACTTTTACCCTTACCTCCCAATGCTAGGAATACTTCTTTCTTTTTATACATTAGTGACATTGTCACATAGGATTTTCACCAGTTGCATGTTAGTTAATCATATTAACTACTAAACTAGCACAATTTTAGTTTGTTATATGTTAAAAATTGTGTAGGACAGGAACAAATATTTCTATCTATTCTTAGACTTCTTTTCTGCCTTTGTATTCATTTTCTATCTCATAAATATTAATATATTAACAGGAATATACTTCTGGATAACTGGCTCAGCAGTTAAGAGTGCATACTGTTCTTGCAGAGAAATATGACTTCAGTTCCTGGCACACATATCTGGGAGATCATATACATTTGTTACAGAAATGTGTTGTATCAAAATCCATAGTTTATTTCCTGTTTATGCTAATTCACAAACTTGTAAATTATTGATATGCTTGGGTCTGAGTTGCATTAATGTAAGGATGCTTGAGCATGATCATGCATGTATAATAAAAATATGTGGATATGTACATACATTTGTATGCATGTGTATCCCACACACCTATACACCTATATAACCATGAACACTCATTCATTGACTGCAACATGAATGAACACACATTGAAATTCAATTCATCTAATTCTATCTGAAGGAAGTAGCTAACATTATGAGTTTGTTTGTATGTATGTATATATGTGTACGTATACATAATTCTGAAATACTGGCTTATTTCTGAAAGTAATCATATTGGACTGAAGAGATGATTTAGTGTTTAACAGTCTTGAAACATTAACATGAATACCTGAATTGATCATGCTGAAGGGATAGAAAGAAAATTTGGGTGTAGAAAATATTCCTGTAATAGAAATTTTGTACTCATGAAGACAGTGAGAAAGTCAAGGAAATGCATTCCACTGAATACAGCAAAAAACAATAAGCAAATGTTTCAGAGAGATAGCCTGTTTAAAAATAAAAGGGAGAGCAACTGAGAAAGATAACCAGTTTTGAGTGTGGCCCTACCAAGTACATGTGCTCAGTCACACACAAGCTCACACTTACAATAGAGCTAAGAATATAGAATATAAAAATCATTTTAAATTTTCAAAGAGACATCATACAATCAGGGAGGCAAGACACATACTAAACACAATAAAGGCAATATACAGCAAGCCAATAGCCAACATCAAGTTAAATGGACAAAAACTTCAAGCATTCCTGCTAAAATTAGGGACAAGACAAGGCTGCCAATTGCACCATAGCTCCTCAATACAGTGCTTGAATTTCTACCCACAGCGATAAAACAATGGAGATCAAGGGATACAAGCAGGAAGAGAACTGAAAGTATCATTATTTGCAGATGATAAGTGACCCCCAAGATTCTACCAGTGAAATCCTACAGCTGCTAAACAATTTCAGTGAAGTGTCTGGATACAAAATTAACTCAAAAAAATTCAGTAGACTTTCTGTACACAAGCAACAATAAGGCTGAGAAAAAATTAGGTAAAAAAAAACATACTTCATAATAGCCACAAATACTATAAAATATCTTGGTGTAACTTCACCCAAGCAATTGAAAGACCTGTATGACAAGAACTTCAAGTCTTTGAAATAAGAAACTGAAGGTTTTAGAAGATGAAAAGAACTCCCATGATCATAGATTGTTAGGATTAACATCCTGCAAATGGCCATCCTGCCAAAAGCTATCCACAGATTCAATGCAATTCCCATTAAATTCCAATACAGTTCTTTACAGACCTGGAAAGTTCAACCATTAACTTCATATGGAAAAATAAAAGACCTGGGATATCCAAAACAATTCTGTACAATAAAAACTTCTGGCAGTATTAACATCCCTGATTCAAGCTATACTACATAGCAATATAAATAAAACATTCATGATATTGGCACAGAAGCAGACTGTTTGATCAGTAGAACCAAATTGAAGGTCTAACTAGATGTCTGTATTAGAAAATGCAAATAGACCTGTATGTATCATCCTGCACATACTCAAGTCCAAGTGGATCAAAGACCTTGAAGTAAAACTAGAGACTCTAAATCTATTAGAAGATAAAATGGAGGAAAAGTCTGGAACTCATTAGCATAGCAGACAATAGAATAACAGTAGAACAGCTCTGAGATCAACAATTAATAAGTGGGATCTCATGAAACTGTAAAGCTTCTGTAAATCAAAGAACACTGTTTTTAGAACAAAACGGCAGCTTACAGATTGGGAAAAGATCCTCACCAACCCTACATCACAGAGAGGGCTGATATCCAAAATACACAAAGAACTCAAGAAATCAAACATCAGCAAATCAAATAATCCAATTAAAACAAGAGGTACAAAGGTAAACTGAGAATTCACAGCAATTCTGTGAATTGGAATCACAGATGAATCACAAATGACTGAGAAGCACTTAAGAAATGTTCAATGTCTTTACATTGAATATTAAAGTCATATCAAAATGACTTTAATATTCCATTTTACTCCAGTCACAATGGCTAAGATAAAAAACTCATGTGATAACACATGTTGGCAAGGATGTGGAGAAAGGGGAAAACTCCTGCGTTGCTGATGGGAGTGGAAACTTAAACAATCTCTGGAAAACAAGCGGGCAGTTTCTCAGAAAACTGGAAATAGTTCTACTTCAAGACCCTGATATACCACTCCTGGGCATTTACCCAAAATATGCTCTACCATACAACAAGAACATTTGCTCAGCTATGTTCATACAAGCTATATTTTTAATAACGAGAAACTGGAAACAACTTAGATGTCCCTCAACCAAAGAGTGGGTAAATAAATTGTGCTACATTACACAATAGAACTGTACTTAGCTGTTAAAAACAAGAAAATCATCAAATTTGCAGGCAAATGATGGGAACTAGAAAAGATCATCTTGAGTGAGGTAATCCAGAAGCAGAAAGACACATGTGGTATATATTCCCTTACAAGAGGATATTAGACCTATAGTACAGGATAAACCTACCACAATCTGGTAGCTGCTTTGGTATTTAAATCTCATCAGAATGACTGCTTTTACCAGGCCTTCACTGAAGTCAGGGAAGAATTTGCAAGCCCATCTCCTTTTGTTTGTGACAGCAGGTAAGAGCTTGTCAAAATCAGACCTCTTGTTTCACCTCCTTGTATATTTAACCCACTGTTTTGAGCTGTTTTTACTCATTTTCTGAGCTATTTTTACTCTGGCTTAAAAGCTCTCTGCAATAAAGTCAGGCTGCTGGCTGGTCGAGTCTAATCTCTCCACTCGAGCCTCTCAGAAAAGTCCTATGTGTGTTGTGTGTTTATTAATTTTAATCCTCACTCTCAACTCAAGAACTGTTCAACTCTGCTGGTAGGCTCCGGCAACAATCCACAGACACGAAGAAGCAAAGTAAGGAGGGCCCAAGGGAGAGTGCTGGAATGTCACTCAGAAGGGGACATAGATTAGACAGCAGAAGTGGATAAAGAGGGGGGACTGGATAAGAGATGTAATTGGGAGAGAAACAAGAGTTGGGATCAGATGTAGGGACAATGTCGATGGGAGGTTCTAGGGCTGAGAACAAGAAGGGAAAATACGGTAATATATTTGTCAAGCTGGAGGTCAGTGGGAGGATGTGGGTGTTCCTATAACTGAGACCCGTAACAGGGAGAGACATGAAGCCTGAAGTGACCACCTCCTGGCCAGGCAGGACTAGTGGAGTGAGGGGAAATCAACCCATCAACAAAACCTTTGATCCAAAACTTACCCTGCCTACAAGAATTGCAGGAATAAAGAAGGAATAAAGATTGAGGGAAAACTCCAAATAATAATTGACTCAACCTGAGACCCACCACACAGTAGAGAGCCTTACAGAACAGGTTTCTGGGAGCCTCCACCCAGAAGTTGGTTGGTGATGCTGGGACTTACAGCCAAGCATGGGGCAGTTTTGTGGAAGTGTTGGAAGGATCTGGAAGGGACAGGAACCCCAAAATAAGACTAACAGAGACAACTAACTAAGAACCATGGGGGTTTACAGAGACTGAGACATCAAAAAAGGATCATGCATGGTCTGGGCATTGGCCCTCTGCACATAGATGGCCAATGAGTAGTTTTGTCTTCATATTGGTCACCTGCAAGTGTAGTTGGAGGGGGGCTGTTTCAAACATGAACTCTATTGTCTGCTTTTGGAGCACTTTCCCCTGGCAGGCTGGCTTGCCTGGCCTCAGTGGATGATCATATGGTCAGTTATGATGTGAATTGATGTATTGGAGGGGGTTGATATGGTGGGAGGGGAGATCATTTTTTCTGGGGGGAAAGAGAGTAAGAGAGGGGAAAAGAAGAAGAGGGGGAAGCTGAGAGGTAAGGAAAGAGGGACCATTTTGGGGGATGTAAAGAAAATAAACTGAAATTTAAAAACAATTATTTAAAAATATCTAAAAGACATCAAACAATTAATTTTAGTAACTCTTTACAAATATTTCTCTACATATTAAATATTGAAAACTTCCAGACCTGATTGACGTTTCTAGGCCATTTAATCAGAACTTCATTGATGAAAAAGCCTTGATCTTGTGGACTCTTGAAGACAAACTCTCCCACTTTAACTAGTAATGAAATATGCTCAGTATGTTCCACTAAATTTTGTATGTCATACATTTCCATAATTTTCTTGTTCTCATTGAAGCTTATTTCATCTCCAGCACCATTCGTCACTTTAATTTTACTCAGAAATGGATGCAGCTGAAGAGAGACATCATTTGATATGAGTGGCCCATACAAACTACTGTTTGATGACCTTTAAGGGAAATCTATTTTCTCTCTCTCTCTCTCTCTCTCTCTCTCTCTCTCTCTCTCTCTCTCTCTCATGGCTTTGTTTTTGAAGAGGCTTAGTTTGTTTAGTTGTCCCCCCCCACTTTTTTTAGTGAGATGAACAGTTCTCACCATGAAAGTAATGCAAGAGCTACTGAACATAAGGTATGGAAAATGTGGAGCATGTTCTTAGAGGGAACAAGGCCCTGTAACTTTTGCCAGCACCAGCAAAATATTTCTAATTAGAAAATACAATTTTTTAGAGAAAATCAGTGGATTCATATGTATTAAGATATGTCCTTTCTGATGCCACACAATGAATATGAGTGTATTTCAATTAGGAAAATTGGTATACATGTATATGAGATTACAATTAGATAATATTAGTAGGAGTTTATGCAAAACTCCAGATTCATTTAAAAATATACATTAAATATGTACAAACTTTATGTCAGTTATAATTCAGGAAACTGAAAAGAGACCCAGTACCTGCCTTCATTTCTCTTTGGTTTGTTTTCTATCACACCATTTGACTTTCAGATTTGATATGAACACTATGTGGTATAATAATATGCACTACAAATGTGTCTGGAGCCTCTGGAGGCCAGAAGAATGTGCTGGATCCCCCAGAAGTGGAGTTACAGACAGTTGTCAGCGTTTATCTGGATAATAGGAACTGTGGGTCTTCTCAAGAGCACGAAGTACTTCTAAACACTGAGCTACCTCAGGGCCCTTGATATGTGTTATTTTTGTTTTTGTTTATTATCTACAAGTATGTATATATGTACACAAAGTGCATGCCTGATGCCTGCAGAGAGCAGAAGAGTGTGTCAGACTCCTTAGGGCTAAAGTTAAATACAGTTGTGAACCAACATATATGTGTTAACAACCAAACTCGGGGACCCTCTATGGGAAGCACATGTTTATTAATGTTGAATCATGCCTCCACCATGATTTAATTACATATCTAACAGATTAAAATGGTTAATACTTCAACTTATGATATTCAATGTTGTGTTACCTAATTCCTACTCATGTTATAAAGAACTGTTGCTTAGGTACTCTGTTATCTAGAGAAAGGTTGTTTTCCATGATACTAAAGATTACATAGGACACTATACATTCATTATTTATTTATTTATCTAGATTTGATAGAATTTAAAGTTAAATTGACTTGTTCAACAGTCTTCTTGATGATACCTTCTTTGATATGAGTGGATGAGCTCTGTTTATATCTTGTTGGTTTAAAACCCAAACACATCTATCTATCTCTAATGCATGGAGATATAGCCTCAGCTTATGAATGCTGTTTGTGCTCTAATCTTTAAGATGGAAGTACTGTTTGGTTTTAACTTCATTTTACACAATTAAGAATAAAGAATTTGAACAAGCAATTACTTTTCAGTTACGCATGACTCTAGGACAGACAATTTATTTTCCACAAAAGGTTCTTCCTATGGTCTTGTGTTAATAACCCAAATTGTATTTTATGTGAAAAAGCAGCTTTGGATATGATGACTATGTCTATACACCATGGCACTTGACATATTCCATGAAAGCATATAAATTTTAATTATTGAATTTGCTTTATTTTTACATGGACTTCATTTATATCTCATAGAATTTCATCTCACATTATGAAAGCATTTCTTAAAAGACATTCAAATTTACTTTCTTCAAGTCAGTGCTTTCAGTCCCAAAATCATGTAAGATAATTACAGGGATATACACATATACTGTGACAGAACCTTTTCCATTTTAACTTATACTTTTAATTATAAAATTAAAATGGTTTAATGGCTTGATCACAGTAAATTACTTAGTTATAATGTTAAATCCTGAGCTTCCCTTGCATATGAGTGAGACTTACCTGCCATGGTAGAAGCCAATCTGTGTTTATGTCTTCCATAGATCCCATTTCAGTTTTGCTCAATAGCGCTTTATGGAGGGCATGGGCCACGGAATACACTGCATTCCATATGGAATAGCTGGGTTCAGAAATGGTCATCAGATCAATTTTTTCATGATTAATCTTTAGGGATATATTTGCTGGGCAGGGTTTAAGATTTTTACATGGCAAGGCAGGAAGTGAACAAGAAAACTTGTCAACCCAGAATTTAGAGAAATAAATATCTCCTGGGTATTGGGAGGGTGTAAGATCCTCAAGAAAGTTCTTGAAACCAGGGATAGTTCTCTTCTTTGAAAATGATACACTTCCTCTGAAAAAGTATAACAAATAATACTCATCTGCTGCAGAATCTAAATGTATTAAGTGTTGCTTTGCCATGAGCCACACCTTCCCTCTGGCTAAAAATATTCTATTATCAAGGCAGAATATTAGCAAGGCATCTATATCACCATACAATACCTGTACGTTCACTTGTGTATGTTCGTTCAGGTCCACCAAATTAGCAACATATTTTAACCCTAGCTTCCAATAAGCAGGGATTTTTTTGTGTAAAAGCGACACAGATATCTTCTGTTGCCATCTCTGCTTTCAGGTGAGAGAGGAACTCTTTTCCATTCAGATCATCAACCACAAAAGCCCCATCCAATTCCAGCCAAAGTATAGCAATAAAGAGATAACCCCATGGGTTAGGCCTCTCTCTTTAGGAGACGTCTGATAAAGGGATGGGAATGTAACTTTGTCACTTAGCTCAGCATTAAAAGGTCCATATGTGACCTGAAGAATCAAAAGAAAAAAATAGTGATTCTGATGTTCTAGGTATTTGGGGTCATCACCTTAAGAGAGGAAATGGGCTCATTCTTCACATATGAATTGTTTGACTGAGTGATAACAATCAGAGTTATACTGTGGGTTTTGTGATCTCGATTATTCCTGACTCTTACACTCACTCAATGGTTTCTCTGTTTATACTAATGCCTTCTGATGGATGCTTTGCTTCAGTATAGGCTGGTAATAGTCAATAGTGGAAATACACCTTTGTAGATATTCTTTGCTTTCTGAGGTCTACTATCCTGAATGAGATTACAAAAATTCCTTGTAATTTTTTTCATTGGTTATGGTCTTGAGGATAGTTCCAAATTTAGTTACATGTCCTGTACTTTCTATTTTCTTATGTCAGATCTTGACCATTCTATGTATCATGAGATGTTTATATGCTAGATTGGGCACTTAGCTATATGTGTTGTAGAATTTGATTTGTGAGCAACTACAGCCTGAGTATCCACAGTTCATCTTGCCAGCATTTGGAGATAGAATCATGAATACTATTAAGTGATCTGCTTCAAAATTATCAGAATGTACTGCTCATGCTTTTCACCACACTCTTTCCACTGCTAATCATTGCCATACCAAGGTAATTCATTCACTGCTATTTGAAATCTGCCTAAAGTAAACATTAACCACGTGTTTGTTTTCTTTTGGTCAGGTTTCCTATGTGACTGTGAACAAAAATACTTTCCTAACTTACTTGTAGTACTTTGTAGAGCTCCAAAAGTGTTCCAATAGCAGCAGAAAATTCCGGCCTGGTTCCTGAAATGATTCCTAGAGCTTTGTGTTGTATTTTGCATTTTTAATTAGGGATATAATCACTCCTCCCAGATATGAACATCAGAGGGCCCTCCAATGTTCTTTTGTTAGAATTAAAAGCATTGTAGACATGGAAACCCATGGTCACATTAGGAAGCAATTGTGAGTCCTGATTGATCTCCTCAATGGTAAAGTATACACTCAGCAAAATTTGATAATTTTTCCATTTCATTCTAAACACATAGGGATAAAGCAATGAGTATAGTCAGTCAATTTTTCTCAGAAATTCTTTATCAAATTCAGGACCCTAGAGGTCTTAAGCCTTGACTTTTCCTGTGACATGTGAAGCTTTTGTGAATAAGTCCTGAACAACTCAGGAACATCATGGAATGGCTCCTAAAACCTCAGAAATTAAACCGCATCTAGTAATTGTATTTTTTTTATTGCTGTGCATTGTCACTTGTCTGTGTCATATGACTGTTGAATATATAGGTGCTAATGATCTTTCTGTTTGTGGAGGCGTTGGGATATGGAAGAGTTACTAAGGTATTCACTAGGAATATGATTAACCACTTCATGTCCTTTTATTTTGAAATGATTTAATTTTATACTCACTTAAAAATTCTAACAAGTTTGTTTGTATGCACTCTTACTGTTAAAGTATCTCTTTGGTGGATAGGCAGATTCCCAGGCAGTTAGGCACACAGACCCCTTTGAGTAAAAGCTAGTAACAGTTCTCAGTGCCCACTGAGTAGCCATGGAACCATGTGTAGCTCTAGGTCATAAGATCCTTTCTGGCATCTTTGGGCACCAGGCATACCTATGGCATTCACACATATACAAGAAGGTAAGCACACAAGGCATGAAATAAAAATAAATAAACCTGTGTAAAATAGTGTTCTAGGGCCTTGCAAAATGACTGATATGTTATGACTCCTTGCTGTTCTTGTGGAGAACACTGATTCAAGTCCCAGTAGCCAATTTTAGGTTCCAATAATAAGTACCACCACTTCTAGGGTATCCCTGTCCTTCAATGGCCTTTGAAGTAACCATGCACACACAAACATGTAGGCAAAACACATGTAAACCTAATGTAAAAATTAATTTTCTTTACAAAATGTAAAACGTAGTAACTAAAGAAAAGGTGTTTCGTAAAGCTTGCAAATTAAATGAAGAATTAGAGTTTCCTAGGTAAGGCAGTGAAAGAAAAATGTTATAGTAGCGTATAAAAGAGAGGAAAACCCTAAGTATATTAAGACAGTACAAAAGTGCTCTCAAGGGGAGGTGGTGTAACTTTGTTGCAGGTTGTTGGGCTGAAGGTCCTTGGGAGGAAGTGTAACTTTGTTGCAGGTAGGAGGGCTGAACTTTCTCACTCATGGCCTTCAGTGTTTAGGGAAGGGTCCTCAGAAGCTTCTTTCAAAACCTGTGGTAGATAAGAGTCTGGGTAACCCTTATAGAGGGAGCTTAACAGAAATCATGAGTCTAAAGGCCACTAGGTTCTACTGAAGGTTCTACCTTCAGCCCTACCATCACCAGGAAGAAACACTATTTGGTTGTACTGCATTAATCTGATATATATGGCCAGATGTTATGTTAAGAGAGAATCTATTGGTCCACACGAGGCAATGAGGAACAACTGAGAGAAAGAAAATTAGTCTTTCCCAGGGATTATCCCAAAGTAAATATTGAACTGTATGAATGTATACATGTATCAATGAGAACTCCTGGAGAGAGCTATGTCTGCAAAGACTGGCTATAAAAACTTTAATGATGTGGAAAGATTGGAATGTAGTAGCTCTAGGGCCTCATTACCATAGTCCAGGATACCTGATGCATCCTGAGTAGCCGTTTCTTGGACACCTCTAATGTTGAGATAATCTCTTACAGAAAATGAATGAAATTATTTTGGAATGCAGTAACCCAGCACACCACTGGCTTCTGCCAATCTAAAAGACAAGAATGACATCATCTTGGGCCTATATGACAACTTTCTCCATCTTGCTGTTAACCTCCTCTCTGATGTTTCCAGTGACATATTGGATTTATAGTTTTCTTTATTCAGTAACTATGAAAAATGCATGATGGTGCTTCCACATTGTAACATGGGATTTGGGATGACCTTAATTGTGTTCACAGACTCTCAAATTTATTCAACAATAAATTCGCTCTTTGTTTTTTTCCAATTGAGCTGAGGGCTGATGTTTTTCCAATCACATAAAATAATTCTAAAGAGTAAACAATTGATTCAGTTGGTTATATACATATACTCATTCATGTATATATGTGTGACAGGAGCTCCACATGAAGATCATCAGGGCCAATCCAACAGGGCCCAGAGGGTTCCACAGAGTCTGAAGCCCCCACCAAGGACAACGCATGGTTTGAACTTAGATCCTCTACATATAAGTAGTTGAAGGGATGATTAGGCTTCATGTGGGCCCAGTAGTTAGGGGAAAGGGAGATAACTCTGACATGGAATATGTTTTCTGCTTGTTGATCACTTTCCCCTGATTGTACTGCCCTAAGAGACCACAGGGAAGGGTGATGAACGCACTTATCCTAAGACTACAGGAGCTGCACTGTGTATTTATGGGACAAAATAGGGGAGGGGGATGTGGGAGAGAGCATGGGATTGGGAGTAAAGGAGGGTGTATCATATTACTAAGATGTAAATTGATTTAATTGATAAAAATATTCAAGTGAAAATGTATGGTAATAAATTAGATGCTCTTCCTCAAATCCCTCAGAGAGTTCTATCAAATATGGAATTAAGGAATTTAATGAAAAAGGCTTTCTCTGACAGACTTCTGGAGTCATTAGCTATGCCTATCCACAAATAAAATGGACAGAAATGGCCTTTTCTTTGATCATATTTTAACTGCAGTAATGCTGAAAACTGAACAATGAATTGCCACATGTTTCTCCCACCAGTTTGTCCCTGCCCAACCTATGGAAATTGTAAAGTTAAATGCCATACTCTGCCTGGACAAGGTAGGTGAATTTTCTAAAGTGCCTCCTTCATAAAAAATCTTTCAGGCCTCTTGAGTCTGGTGTTTGGAGGCTGATGATGCCCTGTATGGCAGTTGAAGCCTTAATGCTGTTTTGTGTGGCATCAAATGACTGTCAAATTCTGATGGCTATGAATTCTTTGAGATTTCCATGGAGGATCCCAGACTGGGTACCAGGGATCTGTTAAGTCTCTGTTATTTTGACAGATATAGAAAAAATTTGGATTATACTGCCTGCTCAAATTTCTCTCAGATCTCTTGACATGTTGACAGTAAGTTGTCACTATAGAAATTTAGCAAAGGTAAGAAACTTTAGGCAGCTCCTCTGAACAAGGTTGTAGCTGCATGGTCTGTCCATATCATACATGAAAGTCAGTCCTTGTTCTTTTCTACAGTTACTGGGTTCCCTGCTGAATAAGCCATTATCATGCTGGTTTCACAATGAAAAATCTAATCTCACAAAGTTAGATTCAAATGAAATTCAAACAGAAGCTACTAATTACCTAACAGTTTGCTTCTTATGGTTCTTTCATTTAGAAGAACTTGTTTGTCTATCATTTCGCCCAGTAATCAGACAACTTTGTCTCCTAGTAAATGCCTGGATAGGGGAAATGAACACTTTAAATTTGATGTAAATTTTGATTATAGAAGAAAGTGATTTAAGGTATGTAAATGAAAGTTGTAAATGTCTGAGAAAATGGTTTAAAGTATGTGAAAATGAGAGTTAAAGATTTCAAAATTTCAGAGTTTTAAAATATGAATCAGTGGAGTTCTGATATGCTATGAAAAACACCAGGTGATAGCACTGGCTAGTCTTGTCATGGTTACAGAATCAAAATTTTTAATGTCCTTTCATTCCTCCTGAAGATATACTTCAATGCTTCTCATTGTGCTGAAATCTTATCTGCCATTACACATTCAGAGAGAGGAAAGGCTGTTCATTTTTTAGCCCAGAATCATCCTTTTTGGTGCCCAAGCTTTAGCTGTAAAGTATGAGTATAACCCAGCCGTTTACATGCACTTGCTTTTTCTAAAGTGAGGATTTCAGAATAGATTACAGATTGTGGACATGTTAATATATTTAAAACTTTTATATCTTTGTGTAAACTACTTCAAGGAATTGAAACTTGATCCACCTATAACTGGTCAAATAGAATCTAGATTAAGACTTTTGTCAATTAACAATTCAGTCTTTTCTGTCTCTTGTCTATCTCTGAGGATTGGCTCTTTCCTTCCTCCTGTGTTGGGATTCCTTCTCTCTCCAGGTGCAGTGAGCTACTGAACTATGGTTTCTCTATCTTGTGAAAGCATTCCTAAGAGTCCTTTACTTTCAAATTAAATTAGGAATCCTGGTGTGTCTGTTTTTCTATTTAAGTACTCCATAACAGTACAACTACCAGGACCATAGGCTTGTATGTTTGTTTCCTGCTCAGAGAGGATATATGTATTGAGGTTTCAAGAAGGTACTTTTCATCAAAGTAGCACACTAATCCAAAAATTGATGTTCAGATGAACATGTGTACCAATTATAGCTTCAACTGAACAATAGGAATATGAAAAAGCCTAATGATTCCTCTACAGTATCATAAATAACCAACAACCTAACTCACAGTTTATCAGAGGGATAAAGTGGCAGATGAATACTTCAGAAAGTAAAGAGATGAACAACAGAAAAGAAAACAGAATCAAGCAATGAATTCAACCGGGCATTGAGACAAGGATCAAAAGTCTCCAGGAGAACTGTGATGAGGGATAGAATAAACAGCAATACACAGAAAATACTCAGTACCATGTAAGACAAATCCTAAGATAAAACTGAAATTCTGAAGGAGGAGAAAGACACAAAGTTTGGAAATGAAAATCATAAAGCTTCCAATCAAATCACAGAACACTGGGTTTCCAGCAGATCTAAGTAGAAGACAAAATATGGGCATGAAAGACATGAATTTCAGAACACTATATTACAATGTCAATGATAAATAAATAAGTAATGAGTATGACCACAGCGTCTAAACGCTGAGATACTTTAAAGATACTAAAGCCAGAATATGAGAAACATGAGATCCTAAGAGTTGTACTGAGGACATAGGGATATTCAAGTTCAATTTAGAAACTCTCCAAGTCTCTGGAAAGTAACAGATATTCAAACATAAGATCTTTATATGGCCAAATAGACCTGAGAAGAATGGAAACTTCTCGTGACATATTAGAGTCAATGTGTTAAAAATATGTAAGTCTGACCATGGAATCACACCATGGAACAGACACAAAAGTTAGGTTTTTTCTATCCCTGATTTATTTCTGGCTGGAAACATAACACAGAGAAGTAGAAATGTTTGCAGATGCACAATGAAGCAGAAAAAAAAATGTGAAACTGTTTTTCACATTGTTTTCTATCTAGTTCATTATTCTCAATGGAATTACATGTGTTTAGCAGGTCATGTACTGTCTTTTACCCAGAACAACCATAGCACATTCAAGCAAGTACTCACAGATCAGCATTCCATAGTTCACTTGGTTCTCTGTCAAAAACATTCTGGACTTTATAAGGTAGATCAAGTGAGATGGAAATGGGGATAAATGTAGCAAGGTTAACATCTGCCTCCATGTAGGTGTTGGGCCCCCAGTAATAATCACAACTGAGCAGAGGCATTCTCATTGATGTATACAAAGGTTTCGGGAGGAGACTGAGGCAAAGCAAAGGAAGGGACATGTCAGATTCTTCACTACACAGAGCCAGTCCCCTGCATTGAGATTGATCCAATGAGATTCTTGGCTTAGGTCCTGGAAGAGGTTCAGACTCAACAGTGTCAGAGAAGACTTTGTATGCTACAGTTGCTTCCTACTGTTGCTTCAGGCTCTCAGTCTGTGCAGGTCAGCACACACACTGCAACAAAGTCCAGACAACTGGGGGTCACAGTACTGAGATATTTCTGTCATTGTAGCCCAACTTTCTCTGAGTTTGCTGTCTTTTCATTGTTCTATTTCCCTCTTATCCATGTACTCTGGAAATCCCATAGCCCTGGAGCTCTGCACCTGGTTCCTCCATGTGGGTGAAAAACATGTTTGGTTTTTTTCTTTCTTCCACAACCTGTATGATTTCATCATGGTCCACAGTGATTTTGGAGAACACCATAGTCTGGGAAAATTGTAGGTCATCAAAAAACAGCTTGTTTGTTTTGGATTGCTGCTGTGAGAGGTAGTTTGAACATTTGACTTCTAGTAAGGGAAGCAGGGGCAGTCAGGCTTTGATCATGTTGCTGGCTCTTTGATCACTTTCACCAGTCAAGGTGGCAAAACTAGGCTACATGGAAAGTGGATCCAGACAGTTTTAATGAGACCTGATAGGCTACAGTAAGATAGTAGTAGAGAAGTGGATTAGATAGATTAGATCCACTTATCAGTGGATTAGAGGAAGGACATGGGGTGGGGGGAGCTGGAGAGGGAGAGATTCCAATTATACTTTTGAACATGAAAGTAAACATTGGTGACTCAGCCTTATGCAGGACACCAAGGTTCAGGGTTCTCAACTCAGCTTTTGTATTCAGATCTCCTCCTGGACATCTGGCACCAAATTCAGAATTATACAGGACCAAAAGAGGGGGCAAGCTGCCCATAGTCAATTTAAGTCATGACAGGCAACACATTTATGACTTGTGTACTTAGTTTAGATTATCAGCCACTTTCCTCTTTACGTTCTTTCCTGATTAAAAGACAAACATGAATCACCTGAAGAATCAGGATAGGAGTAAGTTTTGGAGCCTGTGAATATGAACTCAGTTTTGAACCTGGCAGAAGAAGGCTTGAGATGGCTGGATTCAGTCAACTGTCTTATAACAACAACCAAAAAGAAAAATACTTCTCTATACTTTTTCTAATTTACTGTAATACTATTTATCATAATTACTATTGATATACTTCCATGGTATTATTTGATATTATTGTTATAATATGATGTAAACAATATAATGCAAATCAAATTTTGATAACTAACTTAGGTAGAATTCATTCATGAAAATGCAGCCATGAAATTTCAAAAGAGCTAAAACTGCAAGAGGCTTTGAAGGTAGGCAAGTGAAAAACAATGATGTAATGTTAATTTGTATATACATAAACAAACAAACAAAATAACTAATGTCTCCTATGTATATTCCTACAAAATTTTGGTTACTGAAATTTTAAAAATATATGCAGATAACACACACACAAATCTGTCTGTCTATCTATCTATCTATAGATAAATATACCTCTATAGTGAAATTTCTATGTAGGTAACAGCTTAATTTCAGTGAGTTGTATAAGTGCTGTATTTAGCGAGAGAGACTTGCAGTAAATTTATGGAAAGCAAATTATAATCTTGACAAAAGTGTGCATTCTTTGGGCATTCCAGTAAGACTCCTTTGGCCACCACCTCAAGTTAATATAACCCAGTCTTCATTTGATGACAAGTGACAGCCTGTTGGGACTCTCATATTAGTTCATTTGGATCACCTTCAAATATGTATATATTTTAGGAAGCTTCTACTGTATTAGGTTACTACAGTAACATTCAAATGACATTTAATTTGGGTGTCTCTTCATATTACTTTCCTTAATGTCCTCTTTCTTTCCCACTTCCAACCGATTCTCCTTTATGAGCCCATCTTTCATCTATAAATAACTATTTTATTGCCCTATCCTAGGGAGATCTATTTACTTGTTCTCGAACACTAATCCTTTATTCTGTGTGTATCCTATATGGTTTTATGTACTGTAGGTTGCTTATCATTCACTTTAGAAGTAATATGAAGATGTAAGTAGATACATGCCATATTTGTATTTTTGAACTTGTGTTACTATACTCAGACTGATTTTTTCTAGTTTACCTATAGATATGCATTTACTTTCAACTTTCATAATTTACTTTATAAAATGGCTGAGTAATATTTTGTTGTGTAAATATCAACATTTTCTTTATTCTTCTGTTGATGGACATCTGGGTTATATCAAATTTCTGTAAATGTTGGTTAGACATGTTTGCACAAATATCTCCATTGTAGGATGAAACACTCTTGGGATATATGCCCAAGAATGGTAGAGCTGGTTCTTGAGGCAGAGAAATTCCCATCTGGCTGAGGAACAGCCACAAGGATGTCCTTAGTGGTTAAACATGTTTGAATTCCTACTAGCAATGTCTGAATATTCTTAGCCATTGTGACTCTCTTTAGACTATATCTCAAACCAATTTTGGTTTCCATTTCCCTGATGACTATGGATCTTGAACATATTTTTAAATGTTTCTCAGCCATTTGAATTTCTTTTTTAAAGAATTCTCTATTTAGAACTGTATATATGTATTCTTTTGATTATATAGTTCCTTGATATTTATTTTTTCTTTTTACTTATTTATACATTTGAATATTATATTTATTTCATTGTGTAGTTGGTAAAAGTATTTTAGCTTTCTGTATGCAGCTACATTGTCAGAATGATGGTGGTCCTTTGTCATACAGAAGACTTTCAGTTTTCTGCTATATTTTTGAGGATTGTTTATGTTTATGCCTGGGCAAGGGCTAGGAAGATCTCCACTGCTCATAGATAAGTAGGATTAATAGAATAAATATGTCTATCCTAAGAAAGACAGTCAACACATTCAGTGCAATTCCTATCAAAATTGCAGACATTCTTGCCAGATGTTGAAGTAACGATTTTTAGCTTCAAACAAACGATGACAGCTAAAACAATCCTAAATAAGAACTGGGAGAGGGATCACCCATCCAAAGATTAAACTGAACTGGAAAACTATAGTAGTATATAACAGCATGGTATTGGCAGAGTTAGCAAACACTTTTGTCAATGATGACATTGAACACCCAGGCAGAAATCCACATACCTATAAACACTCGATATTTTTAAAATAATAAATCTTAAAATAAACACTGAGAAAATGAAAGCATGTTCAAAATATTGTGGTGTTCAACCTGTATGTATGCATGTAAAATAATTCAAGTAGATCCCTATTTAGCACTCTGCACAAAACTCAAAATTAGATTGAAGAGCTCAGTAAAATTAAGAAACAGAGTACCTGATGGATGAAAAGTTAAGGAATAGCATTGAACTCACTTACTGAGAAAAAAAGACTTGCTAAACACAGGTGTATTTGTTCTAATCTTGAGAGAGTTGTTTAATGTTTTGGACTGTGTTGGTGAGGCTTATCATTTGAATTTTTGTTTGACCTCTTCAGTTTTTTATTTTTAGGTTAATCTCAGTTTTTAATTTTATTAATTAGTTTTCTAATATGATGTCTTCAACTGCATTCAGCATTTTATTTCACTGTTTGTGTTCATAGCCATCATTGAGGATTTATCCATATCCGCTGTAAGATCCCTGATTTATTTATGTTTTGAGGCCATTGTTTTGGTATGTGGCTATATTGAATTTTTCAGGGTCTACTTTGGTAGGGTTGTTGTGATTTGGTGTCTTGATTGTTAATGATTTAAGTTTCTTACTGGTGTCTAGGTATCTGGGTTTGGGATGATTGTGATTCAAGCTGTTGCTATCTGGATTTGTCTTTTACTTTTGTAATGTTGAGTTTCTTCACTTCTGTTCCCCTCTCTGGATATTAGGAATGTGTGTTGGATGTGTATTGTCTTGTAGAGAGTATTTCTGATTGTGTGTCTTGATAGGTCATTAGGGATACTAGACAAAGACTGTTTTTAGATGTTGGTGATTACACTAAAAAAATAATGTTGAATAAAAATAGACATTACTTCAGACTAAAGGGCTGGAAAAAGTTTTCTAATTAAACAAACACAAGAAGCAAGTTGGAGTGGCCATTTTGTATCTCATAAAATAGGCTTTCAACCAAAATTAATCAAAAGAGATGAGAAAGGACACTTCATACTCATCAAAGGAAAAACCTACCCCAACAACCACTCAATTATGAACATCTATGACCTAAATACAAGGACAGCCTCATTTATTAAAAAAAAAAATTACTAAAGCTTAAATCACACATCGAATCCCATACATAAATAGTAGAAGAATTCAACACTCACTTTCTCTAAGAGACAGATCATCAAGACAGAGACTAAATAAGGAGATAAAGAAACTAACAGACATTTTTAATCAAATGGGCCTAACAGATATCTGCAGAACGTTTCTCTGCAGCTAATGGATTCTTCTCCAAAACTGACCATATATTCAGTCACAAAGCAAACTTCAGCATATATAAGAAAATCAAAATAACCCCCTGAATCTTATCAGACAACCATGGATTAAAGTTGGACTTCAACAACAAGATAAACAACAGAAAGCCTAAAAACTCTTGGAAACTGAACAACTCTACTCATTCACCATTGGGTCATGGAAGAAACAAAAAAGAAATTAAAGACTTTCTAGTTGTCAATGAAAATGAAGGTACAATATCCCAAACTTATGGGACACAATGAAAGTGATGCTAAGAGAAAAGCTCTTCGTATTTTTAGAAAATAAACCAATTGAAGAGATTCCATACTAGTAACTTAGCAGCACACTTGAAAGCTCTCAAGCAGAAGGAAGCAAGCAAAACTAGGAGTAGATGAAAGGAAATATTCAAACTCAGAGCTGAAATCATTAAATTGGAAACAAAGAGATTGATAGAAAGAATCAATAAAACCAACAACTGGTTCTTGA